CCTTCTTGTACCTTGTGGAGAGAGGAGAATGTTCATGTAGTCTCAAGATACTGGTTAGGACATCAACATCAGGTCTGAGGTTGTTGTCTTACGTTGAAGTGCCTTTCAGCAGAAATATCTTTGCTCCTTCTGGCCTCTGGCCTCAGGTCATGTTTGCTGCATCAGCCTCAAACCAACAGAAAGGCCCCTTGGGTTGTGCTTTGTTTTTGTTATTTACCATCCCCTGGAATTATGGGGATCACTTGGATATTCTTCTGTCTCACTAGATGTAGGAATCCCTGATGCTATTTCAGGCCTATTTGCCTAGATACCCACACATATGTCTTTCTTCCGTTCCTTCCACTCTGTGTAAAGAATAACTCTGTGGATCTTTCTGAAATGTTCATAGTGTTAACACATTCCCTAAATCCATTTGGGGTTGCTATTGTTCTGCTAATGATGGGGAGACTCATTCTAGAGATAGCTCAGTACAGTATTTCATCTCTCCTCTCCCTCTGACGCACCTCTTACTAGCAGAATTCTTGTATAGTTTTGGGAAGTACTTGGGCTAATGTTTGCTCAAATAGGCATTGAACTGTAGTGATCATGGCAAAACTTTAAGCATTGAGTCACTCAGCCTATGTTTCAAAGGCTTCTAGATTACAGTAATGGGAATTTGAGTCTTCAGTTCTTTTCTTTTCAGCTGTGATGAGTCCTCTGAAGGGAGGGAGACATAGGAAGTCTCCTGAACGGGGAAGTTTATGCATAACAGGAAGAAGGGGAATGAAAATAGTAGTCTACTTCAATATCTCTATCATGATAGAGATAGATATGTATTTTAAACTAGCAGTTAGGTGAACAGGTAGCTACTTGAACCACCATCTTCAGGGAACAGTGCTTCTTGGATTGCTTTGATAATCTCACTGTCTTAATCACTTTCTTGTCACTGGGACATAACACCTGACACCAACAACCTATAGGAGAATTTTATTTTGGTTCATGTTCTCAGTCCATTGGCCCCAAGACAGGCTAGCATGGCATAGAGGTATAGTGGAGGAAAAGCTGATCATGTCGTCATGGCTTGGAAGCAGAGATAGAAGGGAAGGATGAGCCAAAGAGGGAGACACACCCTTCTAGGGAATACTGCCAGTGATCTGCTTCCCCCCACCGAGCCCACTTATAAGCACATGAGTATTTTGGGGCACATTTTTGATCCAAACCATAAGATTCATGAAAAATACAGAGCCTTTCTTTAGAAAATGCTCATTCCCATTAAATTGAGTATATAGTTCATGAAGTAGTAGACTTCAATAAAAGTCTTTGTGATAGAATATTGTGTACTGTATAGAGAGGTTTCCTAAGGATTTATGCTAAACCCTATCCTGTGCTTAGCTTTATCTGTGGTCAGAGGAATAAAACGGATCAGAGAGGTGAGGTGAATTCTTGGGCTAGATAGCCAGTTATGTTGCTATCCTTTTAGAACCTTGGATGAAGTAGGAAATATTCCAGTCAAATTTACAGACAACACCAAACTAAAACAGACAACTGAGATGATTGGCTGCGGATCAAATTGGGCTATGTTGAATTATCCCGACAGGATAAAGACCTAGCTGAAAAACTAAGGCAAGTGTGAAACATTTAACAATATGCTTATTAGGAGTTAGTGTGCAAATACTCACAAATTATCAGTAGACCACAAACCAGAAGTGTGACAGGGCTCCTTCACTTGTTGCTGTAACTTCCTTTATGTGAATGTCACAATTTACAAATTCCTCCCAGTAGTCTTGATTGTCCATTTTTGAGCAAGCTAGTCTGTCAATGTCCCCACCCAGTGCAGAACAATACAGAGCTAAAGCAGCGAATGCTCTGAGCTACATACTCCAGCTATTGAGCCTTAAGATTGCATCTGTTCTTTTCATTGGCACCAGCATTGCTTCATTCTGATCTCACTTTGACCTGGACCTTTCCAGGCTCCAGAACTGTGAGAAATAAACACCTTTGTTTGTGAGAAATAAACCCCTATGGTGTTTTTTTTTGTTTTGTTTTGTTTTTGTACCAGGAATCAAACTGAGGACCTTGTCCTTACCAGGCAGGTGCTTGTGCCACTGAGCTATATCCCCGGCCCCTCCCCTGTGGTGTTTTGTTACAACAGCCTGAACTGAGTAATACAGTGTTGGATTTTCCCCTGTTAATGAAAACAAATACAAAAACAAAAAACCTAAAGTCTAGTTCTCCATTACATGAAAGATTTGCTTCTAAATGGGGTAGAAGTAGGTGGTTAGGCTGGGAAACTCCTTAAGGTAGAATTACCGTGTGTTGTTGAAAATTATAGGTAGCAGGCTTTTTATTCAAGGCTTAAGAATTAGCTGGATATAATGCCGCACAGCACTCAGGAGGCTGAGGTGGGAGGATCAGCATGAGCTGAGGCCAGTCTGGGTTATGTAGAGAGTTCAAGATCAGCCTGGAATACACAGTGAGACCCTATGCCAAGAGAAAAGAGTTGAGAGTAAGTTGTTCGTCACCAGAAGGGTTAGGGCAGATGTTGCATTTCATGGGTGTTATGCAGGGCTTCTGGACTTATTAAAGAAATTGGACTGGATGACTGTAAGATCTTTGCAGCTTGGATTTTATGAGCACATGAAATGTTTTATGAAATAACAAAAACAGACTTTGCTTCCTTCTGAGAAAAATAAACTTTTTTCAAAACTGTGACTCAGTGGGCTGAAGCTTTGACTGATCCATACAACAACAAACTGCCCATATAAGCATTCTCAGTGGAGTGATTTTGTTCCAAAACTGCTTATGTATCATTGTGAGTTATATACTGTAGTAGGTACAGGAAATACAACCCCCCTGTGGAATTTGAAAACAATAAATGGAAGAGAGAAACCTATATAGTAGTAAGAAACAATATGTAGCAGGTACTAGTGTAAACACTTTCTATACTAACTTACTACCATGAGAACCTTGGGAGTTGCATACTGTCATAGGCACACCTATTTTACAGATGAAAACATGGAGACATAGAAAGTAAAAAGTAATTTGCTTACTTCACCCATTTAGTGAGTGCTGGCCAGGCAAGGAGTTAGCTGACTTCAGAGTCTATGGCCTAGGCCCCTGCACTGTCCTTCCTCCCTGCTGCACTATAGTGTCCTTCCTTTAGAGCCTGTCATCCTCTTCTCCTGGTCCTCCTTCAGCTTCTCTGTGAATGCTGTCCCATGTCACCATGGCTCTCCTTTCTTAGCTGGCCCATGTCACCTGGTGTTCTCCAGAGCTCTGTTGGGCTTTCATGATGACCTCTCTCCATGACTGTTTTCTAGGTCTCATGGTCCTAGACTGTAGTCCTAGATCTGTCTCTGGCTCACTCTGCATCTACAGCCTCAGTCTGAGATACCCACTCTGCTTGGTATTAGGTCTCTCAGTCTCAAAGTCCATAAACATCTAAAGTTGTATGTGAAGCAGACTTGAGTGTATCATCTTTCTCCAAGAATTATCTTCTCCTGTGCACTTCATATCTTGGTGGGTTGCCGTGCATTCTGGGAAAGCAGGGGTCACATTTGACTTTGCTCTTGTCTTCCTCAGTTTATCTAATCACCACGTTTGAGGAATTTCATTTCCTCCTTGGCTAGCTCTCTGGTTGGGGTCCTTATCATCTCTTTGACCACTGAAAGATTTCCTAAGAGATCTGTCTACCTCTAGTCTTGTCCATCCTTCTTTTGACCATGAAAGAATTCTCTCTAAACACAAATCTTTATATGTTCATGAAAATCCCTCAAAGGCTTCCCAGCATTTATAGAGGTAGTCCTTGAGTGTTTGTGGGGTTTTTGAGAAAAGTGCACTCAAGCCACCTGAATACTTGATGAAAAGGAAGATTTCTGGCTCTTCCAGAGATTTATTAAATGGGGAGATTGAGGTTAGCCTTCAGTCCTACAGGGGAAGCAAACGTACCAGGGAATTGAGAGTATAAAAAACAGACCAGCCTTCAAGACTATAAAATAAATGTAATACACCAGGAGATGGGAGGATGAGAAGTCAGCTCAGCCTTGGAAGTATATTTTGAAGGCAGAGACACCAGAAAGCTAGAAATAAGAAAAACAAGATCACCAAGATCAAACCCACCAAGGCCAAACAGTAATCCGCTCTGTTCCCTATTAGGCTGGGAGACAGAGGCAGAAGAATCGCATGTTAGAACTCAGCATGGGCAACTTAATAACTTAATGAACACTGTCTCAATGCATACATACATGCATACATAAATGCATACATACATGCGTACATACATAATACATAAGCTTGAGATGTAGCTCAGTTAAATCAATAGAATCTCTTTCTCCCTTTCTCTTTCTCTCCTCTTTTTCTCTCACCAAAAACAAAGCAACCAAAAACCAAACACGAAACCAAAACCAAAACCTAACCAACACACCAATTAGGAAATTTCCTAGATGAGAAGGGGTGAATTCCAGTTGTCAGGGGAGGATGCGTGGGTAAATTAGTCACTAATGTAACCTAAAGCTATCTTTATTTTATTAGCATAGGAAAAACTCTCACTCAAAGTGGATACTTAAGATGGTAATGAGGTGTGTGTGCTAAAGAGGCCTAATGAAAAAGAGCACATGCGTGATTAAAACCTCATCTCTACATGTGAAGACATAAGAAACTGGGTCACTGCCTCCCTTGTAGATGCCATGAAATACCTTGTAGCTGTCTTTTTTTTTTTTTTTTTATGGGGTAAGCCCAGGGTTTCTGTCTCCTATGGTTCCCTAACTTGTGCTCAAGCATAATAAAAGCCTTGTTCCTGTGTGTTATGGTTTGCATCTAAAATATTCCCTGAAATTGCATGTGTTCAGAGGTGGGTCTCTTGGAAAGTGATTGGACCAAGGGGAGGGGCTATACTCATAGTAGCTTAATTCATTGATGAATTCATAGCTAAATATGTTGCTAGGAGGCGGGGCCTGACTGCAGATAGATCACTGGAGGTGTGACTTTGAAGAGTGTATTCTTGTTCCTGGCTCCTCCATTCTGTCTCTCTCTGCTTTCTGGCTGCCTTGGGTTGAGCAGCTTCACTCCGCTATACTTTTGTACTGTGCTGTTTCCGCCCTGGAGCCAGGTAACCATAGACTGAACTTTGGTACTAAGAGTGGGATCACTGCTGTGACTGTATCCAACCATGTGGTACAAAGGTCTTTAGAACTGGGTTATGGGGGAGTTTGGGAAGGTTTGGAGAGGAAAGCCAGTGAAAACCTAGAATTCTGTAGACACTACCTGTTGACAAATACTGGTGAAACTCAGAAGATCAGATTGCTGATAGAAATGTGCAGAGTAAAAGCCAGGCTCATGAGGTTTCAGCTGGGAATGAGGGCTGTGTGGGAAATTGGATGTGTATTTTATTTTGGCAAGCTTTTTTCTGCATTTTGTGCGTGTCCTAAGACGTTATTTGGAGCTAAATTTAAAAGTGGTGGACTAAATAACCTCCTAGAGGAGATTTCAAGGCAGCTTCATGCTCAGGTTGTGGCATGGGCATTGCTGTCTGCCTTTTGCTAGATTTACAGTAAGAATTAGGAGCAAAAAGCAGAACCAAAAGATGTGAAAATTTTACAGCTTGGCCAGAAAGGAAGCACTTACAAAGTTGGAGCCAAGAAGACTATGTTTGCTGAAGATATTAGCACCATTAAAAAAAAAAAAAAAGCCAAATACTTAGCTTTGGAATAATACAGAACATAATGAACACACTTGAAAATAGGCTCAGTATTCCCATTTTAGGCTTACGTGTGTAAAATTATAAACTCCTCTCAAAGTCTTTGCTTTGAGGAGAGCCCCATGTTGCCGTGTTCTTTGAGGCAACATAAGGAAGAGTTTCCTCAAAATCAGCTATCAGAGCACTCAGAGACTACTGGCTGAGCTGGCTGCCGACCTTGGTGTCATCCCCACAGTGCTGGTTTTACAGTCAGGCAGAATACAAGAAGGTTTTCACTGAGGGTCAGGAAAGCTTTCACTGAGATTTCAAAGGAGACCCTGGGAGGCCAGGCAAGGAGTCCCTGGAAAGGGTGACGTTTGAAGCTGTGAAAATAAAGCCACAGATACAGTGGATATCCCAGGAAGTTGGAGATGCAAGGAATGTGAAAAATCTGCTGAGAAAAACTTCAGACAGTGAACAGAGCCGGCCCTAAAGAGGCCAAGTGGGTGCCCAAGCCCTCTGGAACTCACACCTTACCACAAGATAACCTAGGTGCTGGACATGCAGCTACAGGATTTATTTGCCCTGCTGGTGTTTGGTCACACTTTAGTCTGATTCCTTTTTATCCCCCTATTTTTCCCTTTTGAAATACATGTTGTCTTAGTTTTCTAACTGCTGGGACAAAATACCCAACACTTACAAGTTAAAGGAGGGAAGGTTTATTTTGTCTCTCAGTTTGTAGAGAATTCAGTCCACAGTAGGCTGACTCCAAGGCAGGGCAGCGTGGCAGTGGGGCATCACAGAGGAGAAACAGTCCATGGTGGGGCAGGCAGAAGGCAATCACAGTGAAGCAGCAGCAAGCCTCCCTTACCCTTTCATCCCATCCTGGCTATGAGCCTTTTGAGTAGTGCCACCCATACCCAAAACTATGATAAATCAAGTAGTGGCTTGATCCAGTATCACACACTCCTAATCCCAGGATCATACCCTTAATCTACATTAACACACCCATGATCCAGCCACCTCCAGAAAATCCCACCTATGGCAGCATGAGGCTTTGGGTGGACATCTAGATACAAGCCATGACAGATGGGTTTACTCTGTGCCATTGTATGTTACAGGAATTTAACTTTTCAAAAAATTATTTATTATGTTTACTCTGTGCCATTGTATGTTACAAGAATTTAACTTTTTAAAAAAATTATTTTTCAGAGGAACTCAAAGCTAAATCTTGGAAACAACCCAAATGCCTGTCAACTGAGGAATGGTTAAAAAAAAGATGTAGTATTTTTATACAATGGAGTACTACTCAGCTATAAAAAAAGATAAATTCAAGGCTTTTATAGGTAAATGGATGCAACTAGAGACCATACTCATAAGTTAAATAAATCAGACCCACATGTGTAAACATCGTATTGTCTCCCTAGTATAAGAACATGAAAGAGTAAATAAAACCCAAAAGGTACAATAGATATTGTGAAAGGGAAAGAAATTGCTCAAAGGGAAGGAACAACTGGGATGAGACAAAGGAGAAGAAGAAAGAAAGAAGGGAGGGAAAAATATATATGGATAGTCAGGATAATTATACTGCTGATCTCTATTGGTTTATTGAAGGGAACAGTTAATGCTTAAAATTTTTTTGACCAATTTTGCATGCTTATATCTGGTAATCTGAACAACTAATTTGAAGACAGCAATATGCAATATGACAACCATTGGTGAATTCCTACCATCTTGTTTAGTGAAGCTCTGTATTGTATCTAATGTTTTTTATTATTATTTTTTATTCTCTTTAATGGTTTGATCAATCTGGCATTCTTATATCTGGTAATCTGAGCAACTTCACTGAAGATAACAATATGTAATGTAACAACCACTGTTAATTCCTATCATTTTGTTTTGAAATCCTGTATCGTTTTTATTGTTTTTGTGTTGTTTTGTTTTTGTCTATATTGTTGTTACTTTGTTTTCTATCTACTATTCTTTTATTTTTATTTATTTATTTTTTTGGTACCAGGAATCGAACTCAAGACCTTGTGCTTGCCAGGCATGCACTTGTGCCACTGAGCTGTGTCCCTGGCCCTATTCTTTTAAAATAAAAAAAGAAAAAGAATTTTCTTTGAATCCCAGAGAAGACTTTAAATTTATTTATTTATTTTTTTTTTGTTGTTGTTTTTTTTTTTTGGTTTTTCTCCGGTACGGGAACCGAACTCACGACCTTGCGCTTGCCAGGCAGGCGCTTTTGCCGTTGAGCTAAATCCCCAGCCCCGAGAAGACTTTAAATTTAGACCTTTCAGCAATGCTAAAACTGTTAAGACTTTGGTTACTCTCAGAGATGGGCCAAATACATTTTACATAATGAGATAGACATGGGCCTTTTGGAGGCCAGGGCAAAATGTTACAATTTTGATCTAAAAATAGTCCCTAAAGTTTCATTATGTGATCATCAGTGGGTCTTTGGAAGGTGATTGGATCAAGGCAGGGAAAGCGGGCTTTGGTCTACTCATCAGTGGACTTATCCACTGATGTTCATAACTAAATGTTCTGTTAGGATGGGGCCTGGCTGGAAATGATTCACTGTGAGCACGACCTAGAAAAGTGTATTCTTGTCCCAGCTCCTTTTCTTTTTCCTTTCTCTTTTTCCTGGGAGCCATGGGTTGAGTAATTTTCCTCCACTATTCCCTTCCACCAGGCTGTTTCTGCCTTGGAGCCAGTCAAACTTGGACGGGACCCTCTACAACTTTGAGTCAAAATAAATCTGTCCTCCTTTGAGCTGCAGGTGTTGGGTATTTTGTCCCTGTGAAAACAGAACTACTAGCAGACTGTGCCAGGGTGTTTCTGTCTTATCTTGATAGAAAGTACAAGAGCCCGTGGAGTCAGTAATACTGGGGTGTAGGCTATGGATGTGTATTTTTATGATTTTCCAGCAGTGATCCTTAACCTGCTTAGATAAAATCTAAGCACCCTAAAATGATGTGAGCATTCTACTTTCTGTTCTGCTCTCCAGTCTTTTATGAATGTCTCCTAGTTCCCCAACTATCTGCTGCTTGTGTTTTCAACCCAACCACATGAATGCACAAGTCACTGGTGGGTCTTGCCGTTGCCTCCTCTGCCCAGCATGCCCTTCCTGCCTCCTCCTTGTTGGCGGCTCCTTCCCTTGCCCATGTTCGCTTTCTCTTCCTCCAGTCAGACATGTTCTGCCTCTTTCATCTGGGCCTCCTTGGGGCTTTCCTGACATTTCCTTAGCCTACCTCCATCAGCCCTTATCACGCCATCCTATAATCACATTCCTGTGTCCTTTGTAGCTTGTCAGATTCTTGACTGCAGAGCCCACACACCAGCCATTTATTTATTTTCTTTTGTTTCCAAGACTGTGTACAGCGTCCGATCTATGTTAGATGCTCCATTAGTGTTTGGTGAAATGAGTGATGATAAAGAATTCCTGCATCACAGCTAGGAGTGGCCACAGTGTTGAGCAACCACCAACAAGACTGTCCATTCCGCTTAGAAGACCTGCATAGGTATCTCAGGACATAGGACATTTCCTAGCGGCTGTAAGAGAAAAAGGTTCGCAGACGCTTTAGGAACAGGGGGAAAGGGCATTGCTGGCAGAGGGAGCTTGTTTGGGGCAGTTTGGCTCTCTGCACTCAGCATGACCCAAGGGGAATGGCTGTGGCAGGCTAGAGAATTCTCAGAACAGCACTGGGGAGTCTCACACAACCCTACAAGCCTCTTCCGGCCAACACTGGCTGAGAATTCAGGGGAACAGTGCCACCTACTGCGCCAAAGTTGTGCTTCAGCTCCTGGACTGACAGTTAATGAATAAGTCACTTAACTGCCTTGTTAATACACTGGGAGTTTTAAGTTAAAACCTCACATAGAATTAATTAGAGACAAGGCTGGGGTGGAGCTCAATGGCAGAGGGCTTTCCTGGCACTAGAGGCATGGTGACACTGGAGAAAATCTTCACGAAATGAAAATGTGCTCTTGCATTTCAAAAATGGCCCTGTCCTTATCAAACCCAAAAGCTTCTGCTTAGCAAAGGAAATAATTAAGAGAGTGAAGAAACAGCCCTCAAATCAGGAGAGAATATTTGGAAGCCAAGCATTTGATAATGACTAATTTCCAAATCATACAAGGAACTCAAACTACCCAATAACAAGAAAACAAATAGCACTATTAAAAATAAAAAAGACTTTCATTTCTCAAAAGAAGCTATACACGTGGCCAAGCACTATATAGAAAAACATTCACAATCTCTAATCATCAGGGGAATACAAGTTGCCATGACAATGAGCTGTCACCTCACAAGCATTAGACTGACTAGCATCAGAAAGATGACAGGTATGTCTTGGCAGGGATGTGGAGAAAAGAGAACCTTTGTGTGCTGTTGCAGATTATGTAAATTAGTAGAACCATTTTGGAAAATGGCA